CTGATCATTTTCTCCGACTTCCTTAGACTAGAGCATATAAATGCGGACTAGTTTAATAATGTGATTTTCTGGAAGTTAAAAACACTCCCGAGGTGATGCAATTATTTAAGTCTGTGCTTTTTTATTCAAAATTTGTCAGAAGCTTTTGTTTACTTACCCTTTACCTGTGCACGCTTTGTTTTATTTGTTATATTAACTTAGAATATAATTTATCTTGACAAGGTATCCTATTTTCAACCTGTCTCTTTAATTTTGCTTATGCGGTTTTAGAAGGGTAAACAAGTAAGCAGGACAAACTTGTACAAAGAGATGAATTACCGAGAGTACGGACCTCAATTTCACTCATTCCATGGTGAGGCTGGTCCCGTGGGCTTAGCGTTTGCTTGCCCCAAGGAAGCGCATAATTTACTTACAACTGTTCAGGCCGAAATAAATCCTCCATCCGCTACTAAAAAATGGTTTTCCAATTTCTTGTCTGGGGCAAGAGAAGTAAGGCTTTATTCATTAATGCGTATATTTATGAAATGTAATGTAAGATAAATGGTGTAAAATACTACAAAGAAACGGGAGCTTCTTCTAAATTCTATGTTTCAGAATGTTGCGCATTCAAGTCTTTCTCATATCAAGTAGTTCAAGTGACTGTGAACGCAATGTAATTCACGACTTGTGTATCTTACTAAATAATTTTCCTACAGAGTTGTCATGTTTGAGTTTCTCTTAGGCATATTTTGATTGTGGTCAAGTCTCTTTCACTTTAATTTCTGTTTTGTTCTAGCGAATCTATTCACAAATTGAAGAGGCAAAGGTAAGCGGCACTAGCAGATAAGTAGCGCGAAATCAATTTGCTGTTTGTGTTTTGCATAAATCACTCAAGTAGTCTACAATCCCGATTTCGCACTTTGTTTAATATTCAAGTGCGTTCTATTTTTCAATATTTGGGAATTATTTGAAAATGGGAAACGGGTGCGTGCGACTTTGCTGATGGTGTTGCCAGTGCTCACATTGCTTCTAGTTTGTTGAATGGAAGCCGATGCTTTATAGGTTGACGTGAGGTTTGAAATGAGCAACCTCCAGCGCATCAAGCACATCGGTATTTCTCCTAATGGAAAGGAATTTGAAGTCACAGGGCTGAACAAAGAAGTGGATGCAAAATTGCTTAAAGCACTTGGAGTGGAACGCTGCAAAGCAGCAGAGGTAAACGTCCCAGATTATTCACCCTATTCCCCTTATATAATTTTGCAGAACTTTTATTAGTACTAGTTTTACCCACTACTATGATAATTTTCTTGGCTGATAAAACAGCTAACAGGATGAAGGCATAACCAAACGATATGTTCTAATCAAATGCTTTATTTTCTTTATCTTAGTTAAACGTATTTGTGATTCCAAGCAAAATATTAGACAAAGAATGGTCAACACTTTCTTATTTAGACTGTGGTATCTACTATTACTAGAATACTATGCACCAAAGCTTTCTATGCTAACCTTGTTTTGAGGGAGGTAACTGTTAGAGTTCTGTAATCTGTTTCATCTAAATTTGTCAATGCTGAAAATGATGATGCTCCTGCAAAACGCGTTCGAAGGTATCACGCATATTTCAGTCCTACAAATGAATGATGTGCTTGTTTTTGCCTCGCACGGCGCATAACACAAAACTTCATTACAATCATTAAGCCCTACTGAAAAGTTGGATGAGTAGCGTACTTAAGGCCCCGTTTTGCCAAAATTTTTTTGCTAGAGCTCTTATAAACCTGGTTTAATCAAAGAAAGTGCAAGGTCTTTTACTTTGAGGTGAAAAAGTATTTGTTTTTTTTTCACAGAAATGAAACACATCGGACACGCGTGGCCCCATTTCTCACTTTTAACGGCCCTAAGCTAATATGGGTGTAATACACTTTCATCCTCCTCTTTGCCCTCTCTCCAAAGCATGGTGTGCTGGATGGTCAATTTTGTCTAGTCAGTTGTAAATCGGTCATTTTCTCTGTTTGGATAACTAGCTAACGAGGGCAACGCCTATCCACCAAAGAACCAGACATCGTGAATTCAATCGGAAAAGTATTGACTTAAATGCTGAAAAATCGTAGGTTGTATCTAAGTGAATGCGATTCGGATGAAGGTCACTGACTTTGACAATTACCATTTTTATCATAGTACTGCTGTAACAAAATTGTTTTGGCATTTTCATGACATAAATAGCATTAAAGATAGGTTTGTATCCTTGCATAGTGGAAGCAATACTTGTTTATGCTCTGATACACGCATTAAAGAATTTCAGTACACTTAGTGTGTAAAGGCTAGTTATAGTATCAATTGCAAGCCAAGAATTAATGGTACGCGATTATGATTTACACGTTACGCGTATAGCTAGCTAAGGTCACTAGAATAGTCAACAATGGAGCACAATTATGCTATTCTTACTGTCTCGATTGTATTGTGGTAAAATAATTTTAGAGTAAGGTGTGCTTTAGTGTAAGCATTCGCGGTCGGTGCTCTCTAGTGTGGCTCTGCCGGCGGACCCTAAGTCTCCACTAGGAAGAACACCTAGCAATAATCTGAGCACGTAATTGCTGCATACCTTTATGTCATCTCGATGAAGATTGTGCGTGTCAAGCACTACCATCGAATGTTGACGTAGGTGAAAGTCAGACAGCCTGCACAGGCAAATAATACCTGCTGGTAGAATAACAATTTGGAGCGTCAGGATCTACGATTTATTTTCGTGTGTGATATTCTTCCTCTAGCCAAATAACAGTTAGTTTTGCACTGACTGGTTTATAATGTCGGCTCTCCTGAGTGTTCACCATGCAAAATTGGCATACCTCGAAATGAGCACAGATAATTGTAAGCCGTGTCTTCTCAAACCACGAGAGGCTGTATTAATCGTGGAGTATTTTCTTGATT